ACTGCACCTGGTCTGAGATTACATCACCATCTCTTGTTCACTACATCTACATGCCTGACAGCCTGGCGGTGGCAGACGATAGCTTGGATATTCTCATTCAAGTGAAGGACTGATATTCACAAGTTTGCCGAATTAAGCTGGTGATATTATATTGCTTAATAACACAGTATATCTTTTTAATATTTAGTGGACCCTGATTTGTCATGATTTGCAGAAACAGATTCCAGGTCAAGTAACCACATTCAGAAGGGGGATTTCACTATCTTAGACTTCAACTACATGTCCAGAAGTTTTGCAGAAAGGATTAAAAAAAAAGATGTAGGAATGAGGGAGGGAGAGTGAGTTTATGTTGAATGCAAGAGGCCAACCTTCATCTCCTGCTTCACTAGGATCTGTCATTATCTACCTTGAAGTTGTTGCATATGAGATACTGTATCACACTGAAAGCCTGGACTGCAGTTTTTTTAAAGCACTTGTCTTAGTCATGTTGGTGTACAGCCATGTTGGAGACCAGTGCAACAGTAAAGAAAGCACAGCCTCTCCCAACTCCTCCTCTGCCTTGCATCTGCTCTTCTGTTTCCTGACTTCCATCTCTTCGCTCGCTCCCCTCCTGTTACCTTGTGTCCCCATCTCTCTTGTCTCTCTATCTGTTTTTCCTGGCTGTTGCTGCCCGCTGATGCCCCTTTGCTGCCTGTGCGTTTCCGTCTGTCTTCCCCCTTCTCTGAGCAGCGGTGTGTGGCTCCTCCGCAGTCCTTATGACTTTACCGCAGTGTTTCAAGCGCCATGTAATTAAAACTGCGTAAACGCTGGCAGGGTCTGCGCGTCAGTCTCACAGGCTGCTCCACGCAGGACTGGTCATGCTGACACAGGGAGACAGAGGACAGGAGGAAACTGGTTAAGTAACCAACATTCTGCCTTAAATTAACCATTTCCTGCCTCTGGTTGACGGTCCTGGTCCACTGTCTCTCACTGTAGGCAGCAGGACTCTCAAGACTTTTGGAAGGCCTGTAGAAAATGGAGGAAAACGGGTGTTTTTTGTACTTGGAAACCACCTTTAGTCATTTTTCACATGAGGCTGCGACATTTACACAATGTAAAACCACCTGGAAACCCAGGCATGGAGGCTGTCGTTCATTGGTGATTCAATCACATTACAGCTTCCAAATTGTAAATCCTCGTTTTTGTTAAGTGAGATCACATCAGTTCTTCATGTTTTCTTCAACTGCAGAAATCTGCTGTCTGGCAGATAATGGTGAAACTATGTCTGTGATAATGGTAAAACTGGGCAGTGTTACCATAAACGATGCAGGTCTTGAAATCTGGTCATTAAGCTCTGGTTGCTTAAGTTGGTTACTTAAATCTGGTTATTAAGCGAAAGTTACTTAGTATTCCTATTTCTGAGGTTCTCTTTAAAATAGACTTTGGGAAGGTGTCTAAAAGAAATCAGTCTAATTAAAACACGTTAGATCATCATGATATGATTATTTATACTTAACACTCCTGTTTATCAGGTGATCTGGACTTAGGAAGGATGTTTCCCAATGATGGGCAGCAGTTGACTGACACAGTTAAGCAGCAACAGCACATAATTATGAATTATTAATATAAATGTTGATACTGTTGAAAGAGTAGGTTATAAAAATGTGATGTAAAACTCATTGTAGTTCGGGGCAGAAGTGCGAAGCTGGTCACCAGGTGAATTAAGGGAGGTCAGAGCCAACAAGCACTGAATGTCTGTTTGTTCAGATTGCTATAACTGTTTGTTTTAATGACTAGTTCTGAACTTGGGATTGAAAACAAAGATCTCCATCGAGATTAGTGCATAGGCATCAGTTGGCTTCTGGTTTCAGTCAAACCTGTTGGCAAATTAGAAATGGCAAAGAACAGTGTAAAACTTTTAAAGGGGAAATGGTGAGTAAAGCACAGTTAATTACAAACTTTGCAATCTGGATGTAGATTTTCCATAAGAAAGATTACCTTTTAGGTAGCACCTCCCTTCTCTACACAAGTAGAAGAGACATCCAGGCATTTCCATTAAAACAGCCACATGGCTCCAGCAGTTAAAAAGTTATTCCTGTTTTGTATGATCTCGTGTGAAGTTTGTTTGATAAACAGTCTTCAGTCTAGTGACAGAGTGAGAGTGCTTCCTTTTTAAACCTCTTTGGTAAATAATGGCTTGGGCTGTCCCTGCCCTCCCCTCTTGTATCTTTCTGAGATGTTGATTAAACACTGTGTGCAGAGGTAAACTGGAAGGGCTGGGTTTGACACTTCCTGTGTGCTCCAGAGATGTTCAGCAATGCAGAGAGACAGCTGGAAACGTGCAGTCTGAACTACAGTGGGTTTTCACCAGTATTGTTCTGAGTTTCTCTGTTCTTTAATAGGGAAGATATTAGCATTGCAGAGTTGTTCAATTGCTGCCCATTCCTTTTGGGTTATTGGTCAAGTTCAGAGGGCTTTAGGAGTAACGGAAACTATTGTATTTTAAAATAGTCAGGATTATCATTTGGCACGGGTTTATGTATTGGCACATTGTATTCTTTTGCCACTAGAATATCTTCCATCAGTGAAGTCAGAAGAGATATCAATGATAATGACTTAATGGCCAATGTATATTCTCCTTAATGTTTTGCTGTCTGGTGAGCAGTAGGGCCTCGGTAGCCTGGTACAGTAGTGCTCGAATCCCTGAACACCCGCTGCCATCAGTACGAGCAGAACCAGCAAAACCACAGGCCACCTGTTCTTGTGGTTTGGTGAGACCACATCCTGTTGATCCTTGTGAAAAGCCATCAGTCACCGCTTTTCTACAGGAAGGTGAAGGGACTGAGCTTATAAACAAATTAAGAAGGGCTCTGAGTGAGCCTTGTGCTTTGTGTCCTGGTACAAGGCAGCAATCCTGCTGCACCTGCTGCCTGCGCTCCACACCTGTCTGGACAGTTGTTCCTTCCCTCCCAGCTTCCACAGCGCCTGGCGGACAGCTGTTCCCGGCTCGTGCTGGCGCCGGAGTCTGAAGCCGCTCTCCTCTGCGCACACCCTTGCGCAGCCTCTGTCCTTCCCTCTTTCCTGTTGTTTTGGCAGCAGTGGCTCTCGTGCGTTTCCTGCATCAGGTCTGGAGGGACTTGAGGCTGTGCCATCCATCTACGCAAAAGGTTCAGCGCTCCAGTGCGCACAGGGGCCAGGGGGGTGCGTCTGTGTGTTCTTTGTTTTTAGTTTTGCTGAACTTACTGTTGACCCCCCCCCAGTCTGCAACAACACTGTTTTTCCCTCAGTTGTGCAGTGCCAAGTTCTCACTACCACCTTCCTTCTCACCAGAAATACACTCTGTGATGGGGTCTGGAGGAGAGAGAGTTAGACCAGATTATGTTCTAGTTGTGTGGTCACCCTGCTTCTTGAGGAAAAACATTTGAATCTCCACACTAGTACCCCCCTGGGATGATTTGTGGGGCACCATGGTTGGTTTCCCCCTTAGACCAAGAGAGGTCTTCACGTACAGGGTCATGTCTGAGGGCTGGGGAAAGGAACAGGCCTCCCTCTGTCGTGGTCCTGTTTGAGAAAACTGTCTGGAAGAATTTCTGTAATATTAGCAGTGCTCTGCATTTATGGTCTCTAATCAAGTGTACATTCTTAACAGTTTTTCTAAGGAGAAAAATGCAACCCTCCCGCCACCAGTCGCTAGCCCACCCATTCTCTGTGCTCCCTCCCCTCCCCTCCCTCTCTCTGGTGAGCAGATGCACAGCTCCGAGTCGGAGGGCTGGGCTGCAGTTGGCTGGGCAGCAGACAATGTCCTTTTTGTAGGAGCCTGCCAGAGCAGCCGCATGAGCTCATCCCCGGTCATCCCCGAGCAGGCCCTCGGTGCGGCGCGGTGCGGGGCAGAGCCGCCAGGGCCGCCAGGCCAGGCCCCGCACCGGGCCCGCCTAGCACTGCCGCCACCGCTCACACGGCTATTGTCCATTGTGTGGACACGTGTGCTTGCAGCGGCAGGAGCAGTGCTTCACTTAAAAGCCATTCTAAGATCTCTTCGCTTTTCATCCGGCTTACTATGTAGCCGGATTTATCGGAGCTGTGTGAAATGGTTATTTCAGTATTTCATTTTTTTTAGCATGACACTGAAGTGATTCACTCTAAAAACTGGCAAGCAGCTGCACAGCTCTATACCAGCAAAGCAGAGGGGAAAACAATTATAAAACCTTCCCCTGAATTCTTTATGCATTCTCTTGTTTTAAGTGTTTTTTGGTCCTAATTTGCAAGTTTTGATTGTTTTAATTATAGTAATAGCTTTCATCCTTCCATCTGTTATCAGAGCCACTTGTTCCTGGTAGGCGTCACGGCACGCTAGAGCTTGTCCTAGGTCGCAGAACGCCTACGAACACGGGGAAAAGTCATGGGCACTAAGTAAACATGCAGACTTAAAAACATCCAGCTGAAACTCTAGAGAAAGCATCCCCATAATCAAACAGGGTTTAAGAGCGGTGTACTCAGTCAGTCCACAAACACTTGCCCATCATTTGCAACCTCTCTCATTAAAGCATCCCAAGAGTCAAATAGTGACTTTGTGCAGCCCTGCTCAAATAAAATACTATGATAGCTCTATCCCTGTCCTTTTTTAGGGAGGCAGGAGAAACCTGGATTGTGACCAGTTTATCAGTCCCTTTTTGGGTGCTTGTCTGTGCCTTCTGTCCTAGGTTGTGTCTAGGGTTGTGTTGAAAACTAATGGTATACTACTCACAGTCCTGTAGCCAGAGGACGAGCTGGTCTGGTCTTCTTATTTTTAAGGGCAGGTGCGTGTCTGTGTTGTCTAGTTTTTCTTAGGAATTAATTCTAGAAGTGGAGTCTGGGGTCCAGCAGCAGATCCTGAGAATGGGCTGTGAAAGGTTTTGAGATGCCCGTTGTGGAATGAGATTGTGTACAAGCTGACGTCGTCAGTTTCTTTGTGACGTTGGTGTGCAGTGGGAAGAGTGATTCCCTGCCATCGCCTTCTGGTCTGACGTCTCTCCTCCTTGCAGGTGCCCATGCGAACGAGGCCTCGCTCCTGCAGATGAGCCAGCGGTCGGGGCGGCAGCGCAGTCGCACACCCAGATAGTCCCCGGCCCGGCTTGGCCTGGGAGCAGGATGCCCTCCACCAGCCGCGCGGGGAGCCTGAAGGACCCAGAGATCGCCGAGCTCTTCTTCAAGGAGGACCCCGAGAAGCTCTTCACAGACTTGCGAGAGATCGGCCATGGCAGCTTCGGGGCGGTCTACTTTGTACGTCCCTCCATTATACTCCTGTCAGTCTGGCGGTGTGACTTGTCACTGAAGGTCCTACTTACCCAAGAGAAGGAGCTTGGCCTGCACAGTACTCATTCACTGTTCAACTACCTCATCGTTCTGTGAAGAGTTCTTACAGCTTCTGTTGAGCAATTAGACCAGCTAAATTATAATGGACTCGACAATTACAGTGTGCTTAGAGTTAGTTTCTACATGGTCTATCACCGTAACGATTATCTATAAAGGACTGTATCATTAGCTTCAGTAGTCTTGCTCTGTTTAAATGAGTTGTGTTTTGTTCTATTTGCTTTGCTGATGAAGCATTAATGGATTCCTCTCCGTCTTCTGTGTTTGTGTTTTGACTTCTCCCACAGGCCCGGGATGGGCGGACCACGGAGGTGGTGGCCATTAAGAAGATGTCGTACAGCGGGAAGCAGTCCAACGAGGTCAGCGGGCAGGGCGCGGGTCACAGCCGGGGCAGTGAGAGCCCGATGGCCGCACTGTCCCCTTCTCTCAGGACACATCCCAGCAGAGCAGGCTTCCCTGTCCATCTCATGGAGAGCCATGGCCTTCATGCCATTCACTCCAAGTTGTGGTGTTACTTCATCAAGCCCTTGAACACTCCACATGGTTTTTACCTCTCAGTGCTGTTCATGAAGGGGTGCGGTTGAGAATCTGAGTGTTCAGTGGAAATGAAATCCAAGAGACCCAGTCTGTATTTTTTAACAATTTGTCATCTTGCACTTGAGAACAATAGGAAGTAACAAAGGCTGCTTGGGAGCAGAGCTGCTTTGCGTGCAAATTCAGAATGTGTTTTATCGGGTGTGGTATTTTTCCTCTAGCCTGCAGCCACCATGGTGTTGAGACTCAATGACCTCTCATTGAAGGAAGCTGATGGGGTGCTTGTAGTTAATTAGAAGGATCTTGTCCAGTCACACATTTAAAGACACCAGGGTGCCGTCTTGAGCACACTGCTGGGTATGTTGTTCTAGACCCCCATAAAAGTTGCTTTGCAGTTGTAAGCTTTATCTACCAGCAGACCTTGTGTAAGGCTTCTCGAATGAGGGATGTATCTTCAAATTTAAGTAGACTAAACGAAGACACAGTCAGTTGAAATCAGATTTTAACTGCTGGATTCCTAGAGCCGGCAAGCATTAGTGCTGCACTCCTTCGCTCGTAACTTTCAGATTACTCCTAATCAGATTAAGGGCAGGAGGGGCTAGAGTGCGGGGCAGGCTGTCCTGAAAGATCTGTGTGCCAGTGTACGTGTTTGTCTTCGTGCCTGGTCATTGCATTTAACTGTTCTTTTTTTTGCATGTGATCTACAGAAATGGCAAGACATAATCAAAGAAGTAAAATTCCTGCAGAGGATACAACATCCTAACAGTATAGAGTATAAAGGATGCTACCTGCGAGAGCACACTGCCTGGGTGAGGCCAGATTTCATCTTTACCTCTAAAAGTCTCTGTCCCTCCCTCATTATATTTATAATAAATCTTAACGTTCATATTGAACTTACAGGTTTGCCACATTACTGCAGCTCTTTAGTGAAACAAAGATGAAACAGCTCCCTCTGGTGTGCAGAATGGGTATACTACAGTTTTGCTGTGCCTTGCTTTTTCCTGAGGATTAGAGTATTGGACATTTTTATATATTTCAGATTAGTGCAGATGTTTTGAGAGGGAGCAGCGAATGTGTGTTTGTGTGAGGGTCTTGATTTCTGTGGTGTTGGGATGTATACAAAACAGTTTGTTTTCCTGATCCTCTCTTTGATTTGTCCTCCACAGCTGGTTATGGAGTACTGTTTGGGGTCAGCGTCAGACCTGCTAGAGGGTAAAACTCTTATTTCATTTTTTTTTTAGTTGTTCGGCTGTTCCCGTGTGTATCGGTGCTGGGGGAGAAAAGAGCTGTTGTAATGAGCAGACCTTGCATTCTCAGGGCAGCTGAAATTCACAGCACTGCAGTACTGCTGGAAACTGCCAGCAGAGCCACATGAAGCTTCAGGGGTTATTTGCAAAAGAAAAGGCACAGAATAAGGCTGTGCTGGTATGGGCTGTTTTAAAAAATGGTCATAGTTAGTCACAGCGGACTGCAGTTTGTCAGGTGTGACAAAGCCAGCAGATTCCTCAGCAGATGTCTTCAGCTCATAGGAAGGGTGTGGTGTGTGTGATGGAAGAAGGCATTCTGTCTGCCAACATTAAAACAAGAACTTTTAAACTTGGGCTCTTAGCCTAAGCGCCTTCAGCTTTCAACTCTGGCCAGTTTTTGCCTTTTGATTGTTTTAGCTTTCATCTGAACACCACAAACAAGTTTGTGACTTCTCTCAAAACAGCTTTAACATATTTTTACATCTATGTTTTAGCATAAGAAGATATGCCACCTTACACATGTTAATTTATCTGTGGATTGTCTCTGCTGTTTTTTTTAATCTGGATATGTTAAAAAAATGATTTATTTTAAACTTTTGAGTTTAAGATTAATAGTCTAATGTGTACTGTTTGCAAGTGTAAAACTGTCCTTTTCTCCTTTCTCGTTTTGATTTGGGTTGCACTGAGACGTTCCAGTCAGCTTTGTTAACATGCCAAAGTATTGCATCTTGAATCTTTCCAGCATCCTTAATGGCCACTAGTCTTATTTGGTTTGGATCTCTTAAACTACTCTTTAGCATGCTGTTGTATTTACAGACTCAGAGTTTCTTACAGACTCATAACTAATGTATATCTAAGCAATCTTACATTGATGTGAAATTGCCAGGATGTTAAATCTACCACAAAAAGTGGATTGTAAGGAGACACATGCACAGTTTACCATGCACCAGGCTCTATCAAGTGTTTTAACTTGAATCTGTTCTTTCCAGTTCATAAAAAGCCTTTACAGGAAGTGGAGATAGCAGCTATCACTCACGGTGCTTTGCAGGGGCTAGCCTACCTTCATTCCCACAACATGATTCACAGGTGAGTGTGGAGGGGGGCGGGGGGTTTGACTGCTGTCACTGAAAGGATCTAGTGTAACGGTAGTTTGGCAGGTACTGTTGTCCCTGGGCCAGGTGGCAGCATTCTGCTGAAGTTGAGAATGCCTTTCTTAATTTTTTCATCAGGTAAGGATCATTAAAGCACTCTTCCTGTCTCTATTCCAGAGATATCAAGGCTGGGAATATTCTCCTCACGGAGCCTGGCCAGGTGAAGCTTGCTGACTTTGGTTCTGCCTCTATTGCCTCTCCCGCCAATTCCTTCGTGGGGACTCCATATTGGTAAGGGAATGCTGGGAGTGTGCAGTCCGGCTTCTGAGTTGTGGTGCTTGGCCATTCTTTACCATCACTGTGCAGCATGTTGTATAGGACCTTTGTACTTCTCCTTGACTGAATGTGCATGGAATAGTTCAGCAAAAAAAAACACATTTTAGGGTAAATTTACTGTAATTTTTAGAGTACAGTAATCAGTTTTACATGTGGAAGAAACTGGTGATAACTTTCAACTTCGATTGACTGTAATACCAAACCCTTAATGGCAGCTGGTACAGTATCTTGGCTCATGTGACAAGTGAGTAATGGTCAGTTTATTGAAACCACACTTTCCCAGTGCAGCCTGCGAAATAAACAGGACATGATTCACTGACTCGTGTGGTCTACTTCTCTTCAGCACATTTCCAGCCTTGTTTCATTAGCTGACTTGGCAGACCATTAAGCATGTAAATTTTTTAATGTGTTTTTCTTTCCACTGTCAGTGCTGTTTGGTAGGTGGAGAAGTAGAGGGAAAGGAAAGGGTGTACAAACCCCAAAAAAACACCCCTCATTAATTCTTGTCTCAGTCTTCGGTCAGGCCATCAACACCACACCAGTTCTCTGAGGGCTAGCAGTGACTCATTGCTGCGTTTAAAAAATGAGATGAAAATGTGTGAAAAAACAGTGTAAAAAAACTAGTGACGTGCTCAGCAGTGCAGAGGCTCAGGGGAGTCGTTTGGACATCGTATCCATGTTTATCTATGACCATATCCGACTCCTTATCCCCTGGAATCTTCTGAAAGATAGCAGTAGGGCCAGGAGGGGCGGAGATAAGGGGCAGTGGGACAGGAGGTGGCCGTGCTGACAGCCCAAGAGTTCGCCGCCTCAGATTTGTGTAAATGGAGTAAGGGAGTGCACAAAATGGGACTGAGGTGGCTCAGCCAGTGAAGGTGCTTAGTCTGGTGAGCAGACTGTTGCAGGCCACAGAGGCTGCGGGGTCAAGTCAGAGCTGTGTCACTGCCTGACCGTGACCATCCCAAACAGTGCTGCATAATTGACTGAGTGTGTCCAGGAGGGTTGGCCTCAGGTCTGCTGGGATACCCTCATCATTCCGCACTGCATTGACCACGTGATGTCAGAATTACTGTTTACAGTTGGAGCCACATCCGCGCTCAAGACGCCTCCTCTCTGCGTTGACTGTTGGCTCTCGGTACTGAACGGGCACAGGTGTTCTGACAGCTCATGCCTCAGCGTACGTTGTCCTCAAGCCTCCTGTTAGAACAAGACTCGGTGTGGTGGGTTAATTTGTGGTTTAATGATGCCAAACCATGAAGGGGTTTGGAGGTATAAGAAAGATAAGTGGAAACTCAAAAGGAAAGTGAAAGTAATTCCTGTTGTCAAACATCTGTTCCCCACACAGGATGGCCCCAGAAGTGATCCTTGCCATGGACGAAGGGCAGTATGATGGGAAGGTGGATGTCTGGTCTCTTGGAATTACATGCATTGAATTAGGTGAGGTGTCTGTCCCACACAGGGGCTGCAAACAGCTGGGTGTGTGTATTAGAGACATCACTGTGCCTGAGGTAGTGCCCTCCCTCTCTCTTTCTCTTTCTTACCAGCACGTCTGTTTAGTTATCTCTGTTAGGAGTGCATATAAAGTCATGTAACATTGATTTGAAAGCTTTCCTTTCAGGTACTTCTGAAGTTCTGAGTATTGAGAGTCATCACTTTCTGTGTAGAAATAGTCTAGCTTTTGTGTTTGTAGAATGCCTCTAGAACTAGCAGTGTCTCAGACTAGTACATTTCTCACAACACAGCATTCATACCCATTAATATCATGCTCTCCCCATGAACACTGAAACTATTTCAGAATGAGCCACAGGCCTTTTCAGGACTCTGTTGAGGGATCAGATCTCGTGTGTAAACAGTTCTGCTTCCTCTTATTTGGGTCCTTGTTCTAAAGGATGTTTTTTTTAACTTCAGGTTAAACCAGTTCTTTCCTAGTACACTGTATCAATCCGTTCATATGTATGCATATGTCTACATAGTATGAGGTTTGATTAGTGCTTAAGAATGAACTAAATTCAGTTTGTGACCATAAAAGAGCAAAAGACAATCTAGGAAAAACCTGTGCTATTTTACAGTGCAACTTTACATGCAGATTGGGGGAGGTTTGTGATGTTGATTTTACTTGGCAATTACCATTCATGCAGCACTGTTTAATGTGCACGTTGGTTAGACCTGTTGAAATGAAAATTGAAAGCCGTGTTTGTCGATGCTAAACACACAGGTGTTTTGAGATCCAACAGGCATAAAAAGGACTTGTTGTAACATCTTTACAGGTCGGTTCTGAGCCTTAAGGAAGCTATTGGCGTTAACTATACTATTGCAAGTTTTACAAGAGAAATACATTGAGAAGAAGGATGTACTGAGCCAGCCCCTGTTTTTGTGGAGACTATTTGGCCAGGGTTAATGAGCACTGAGCTACACAGGTGCCCTGCAGGTCTTAGAAGTAGTAAGATGTGAGGGGTAGCATTGCCTGGCCCGAGATCTGAGCCCCTGCTTCTCTTCTGATTTCAGCGGAAAGAAAGCCTCCGCTCTTCAATATGAATGCGATGAGTGCCTTATACCACATAGCGCAGAATGAGTCCCCAACACTGCAGTCTAGTGAATGGTGAGTGTGCTCTATTCTCTTGCATTCTGGCTGCATAACAGGACTGGTTCCTGGCACGTTTTGTTTCAGACAAATATATTCACTCTTCTCTCATGCCATCTACTTGCCTTTGGCTGCTTGTACAAATACAATTTTAAATTAGTCTCATGTCTTAAAACTAAAGTCTTTGAACATTCATCATGATTACAAAAAGGCCATGTTCTGCTTGGCAGAAAAACAAAGTTTCTCACTTAATAACTCTGCCCATCCTTCCCTTTGCCCCCCAGGACAGATTATTTTCGAAACTTTGTCGACTCTTGCCTTCAGAAGATCCCCCAGGACCGACCCACCTCTGAGGAGCTGCTAAAGGCAAGTGAGAAGCAGACTCTCGCGTGCATCTCTCTGTCCTGCTGTTTTATTTAAAGAAGCAAACACCAATAACATTATTCTTCTGTTATTAACACTGATCCGTCTCCTATGCCCTCACTGCCTTAATATAGCTGAGTTCACCTTTTGCATTTTATATGGTTTGTATCAAGTATAATTAAAGGGGACGGTGACATTTGCACTTATTAATCCAGTTCACAACAAGAACTGAGTGGATATTAATTTGGATTTGTATGTTAATGTGCCCTGTGTGTTACAACTGCACTAATGGAAGCACAGCAGATGTTCTGTGGTTTGCAATTCACAGTGCCGCTTCTGTCCTGACAAGTCTTTTGGGTACTGCTCAAGTCATTCCCACCAACCTTCTGGCTGCAAGACTGCCCAAATGTTTCTAAGACACTGTGCAAGACCTGTCCAGCTTGTTTGAAATGCAGTGTGCAGTGCTCTTCTATTCTCTGCATTAATAAACTCTCTGTAATTATTTCTGTGGATGTGCATAGCTGTAATTTGCATAGCTTAGACTTTATGGCTATAGTAATTGATTTTTTTCTGTTAAAGTGATAGCTTGTCGATGTAATGCAATTCTGCTTTTGTATGTTGCATTCTGTAGATTTGTTTGATGGGACAGTAAGAGGAACTCAGGTTCCTGAGTCAGAAGTCCTGCTTTCTCCTGCTACGTTAAGCATTAAAAGCCACGAAACTTGTGGTCGCTGGTGTGTTGGGACTGTAGAATGTGTGGCTGTGCCTCACTGTCTCCCCCTTGTGCCAGCAGCACGCCTTCGTGCAGCGGGAGCGGCCGGAGACGGTGCTGATGGACCTGATCCTGCGCACCAAGGACGCGGTGCGGGAGCTGGACAACCTGCAGTACCGCAAGATGAAGAAAATCCTGTTCCAGGAGGTGCACAACGGGCCGGCCGCAGAGGCCCCCGACGAGGAGGAGGTTAGACCCGCTCGCTCGCTCTTCCTCGTTGTCCTGTAGCACGGGCCGCTCCAGCGTTCTTCATGGCTTCGTGACTGATACATGCCAGTCTGGTGATGCAGTACGCTGTACCATCTATATACGCAGTGGGAAAGACCAGCTGTTTGTTTCTTTCATTAGGTTTACTTAACATGCTTGATAATTTTGCTCATCATACTTCCTGTGACTCTCTGTCCCCAGGAGCCCGAGCACGGTGTGGGCCGGACGGGCACGGTCAACAGTGTGGGCAGTAACCAGTCCATTCCCAGCATGTCCATCAGCGCCAGCAGCCAGAGCAGCAGCGTGAACAGCCTCCCAGATGCGGCTGACGACAAGAGTGAGCTGGACATGATGGAGGGTGACCACACTGTGATGTCCAACAGCTCCGTCATCCACCTCAAACCGGTGAGCTTGCTAAGCCTGGGCCGGCGCTCGGCGATGGACAGGCGTGTAGTTATACAGAAGGCAGACAAGTAGGCTGGAAGTGTCAAATCCACGTTTGTTTATATTCTGCAACCTTGACACGGGTTACACAGTCCAACACTAACAAAGGCCAGACTCCCAAGTGTGCAGGTAGACTTCGCTGTGCATCCTCTCTAAGTTAAAAGGAGACCCCACAGACCCATACACTTACCCTGGGAGAGCAGAGGCTCTGAGAAGCCCACCTTGCAGAGCGCAGGGGCTTGACATTCTGCAAATGTAGGCATGGCCGCACAAAGTTCCTATGCTTATGCTAAGTTTCTAAATGACTCCATATTTTGGAATTTTCTCAATGTGCAAAAAAACGTGGCTTGCACGTGTTGGTTAAAATGCCGCAAGCTGCAGGGAAGGAGTGGAACCTGACACAGGCGATGGTTTGAGGACACAAAGGCTGTCTGTTGTCACAGGAGGAGGAGAGTTACCATGACGACCCCGATCCCCACAGCAGGCCCTCAGAGCCGCAGTCCCCCCCGGCACAGACCCCACGGCACAAATCCCAGTACCGCAACCGAGAGCATTTTGCCACCATCCGCACTGCCTCTCTGGTGAGTCTCTCTCTCTCTCCCCCCCTCTGTCTGACACTGCTCTCTCTTCCTCACACATCCCTTGTACTCTCCCTCCCTCTTTCTCACTTCTCCCTCTCCCCGTCTTTCACGGTCCTCGCTCCGTCTCGCCGCCTCACTCCGCTGTCTCTCTCTCTCCCCCTGCGTTCCTCTGCACTCGGCCTCCCCGCAATGCTGCTCTCGCTCCCTCCCCTGCGCAGGTGACCCGGCAGATCCAGGAGCACGAGCAGGACTCGGAGCTGCGGGAGCAGATGTCCGGGTACAAGCGCATGCGGCGGCAGCACCAGAAGCACCTGATGGCGCTGGAGAACAAGCTGAAGGCCGAGATGGACGAGCACCGGCTGCGGCTGGACAAGGAGCTGGAGACCCAGCGCAACAACTTCGCCGCCGAGATGGAGAAGCTGGTGAAGAAGCACCAAGCCGCCATGGAGAAGGATGTACAGTATCTCCTCTTACTCTCTCTTTCATACTGTCATCCGGTGCTGCTGTTCTTGTACAGCTTGCTGCAGGATGAGCAGCATAGTCTGCCACTTCACTATTCAGTTTCAGCCAGGAGCCAAGAGCTGTAAATCACCACATTGCATAGTGTTACCGTACAGGTTTGAAGCAGAGTTCAGGTTTTTCTGAACCCATGATTTGGGCTGTAAGTGATCAGTTTAAAACATGATGCCAGTGCTGGCGTGTCTAAGTACTTGTTACCTGAATGGTGTTGTATGAACAGGATTTCTGGAGCAGTATTGCTGTGCTTTCCATATGCACTTCACGATGAACCACACAGTCCACTTCCTCGCAGGTTTCCTCAAAACTGCTGTACTGTTTCCTCACTTGTATGAACATGCAGCGCACTGTGCCCCACCATTTATAGTGTGTGGTGTAGTTCAGAAAAAAGGACCTGTAGTCAGCGGTATCCAGTGTCTTTCTCCACTCGCCCCCTGTGTGGTGCCCTGAGTATATTAATGCACCTCCCTGTACTCCCGTCTGTAGGACAGTGTGTGGTGATGATTGTCTGTGTTCTCTCTAGGCAAAGACCTTTGCCAACGATGAAAAGAAGTTCCAGCAGCACATCCAGGGCCAACAGAAGAAAGAGCTCAGCAGCTTCTTGGAGTCGCAGAAACGGGAATACAAACTGCGCAAAGAGCAGCTCAAAGAGGTACAGGTGCACTTCCCATGTCAAAGAGCAGCAAACAGACCATTGCTAGGCTTCATTGCATTGGAATTTGTTTGGGGTGGAAATATCTTCTCTGCATGCCAGTTTAACCATTGTTCAAGGATTCATGAGCTCTGTGTTAATTGACTTTAATAATCACAGAAGTCCTTAGAGGCATGGGCAGCTGTGCTTATGATTTTGAAACTTGCTAATGCACTGCACACCTTGTGGTGAACACCAGTAACGTTACTGAGCTGTCACTGTGGGAGTGGGCTCATTTGTAGAAGTACTACTTTTTGTTGAGCCATAGGAAGTAGTTTTCACTCTTAAATAGATATCTTTATAGGCATCCTGTAATGTCCAGCACCTGGTACTACATTGTACACAAGGTATTGTAGCTTTATATTGATCTCAGCAGCAACACAAAATGAGACACCCAGCACTGTAGTGTTAACTCTAACTAATGATCATCTCTAATTTGATCAAATCTGTGATACAATGATCAAATGTACAATATCATATTTTAATGTTTTTTTCCAGCTTTGTGAGCATTAAGTAGAGCTTTAGACTGGCTGAGAAATGACTGCTTTTAGCTTCAAATGCTCGTAGGAAACGAGAGAACCTGCTCCTCTGTGACACTGTCTGGCTGTGGTTGCAGGAGTTGAATGAGAACCAGTCGACCCCTAAGAAAGAGAAGCAGGAGTGGCTGTCGAAGCAGAAGGAGAACTTCCAGCACTTCCAAGCCGAGGAGGAGGCCAACCTCCTTCGGCGCCAACGGCAGTACCTGGAGCTGGAGTGCCGGCGATTCAAGCGACGGATCCTTATCGCGCGGCACAATGTGGAGCAGGATCTGGTGCGAGAGGTGAGGACGAGGCGCTGGGCCGCTGGGGGCACCTGTGCCTCCGCCTCTCTCTTCCCTCTTCTTTCCTCTCGTTCTCACTGACTTTGACAGTCCTCACCCTACCTAGAGACTCCCTGGTTTTTACTTTCCTCTCACGGCCTTTCTTCTGCACAGATTTCCTTTTGCACGGCTTTCACGTTTCTCTCTCCCTGCCGCTCAGGCAGCGGAACGCGGCTCGCCCTCTATCGCTCGCTCGCTCCCTCGTCCGCACCCCTCTCTCAGTGCTGCCCCCTCTCTGCCCCTCAGGAGCTGAACAAGCGGCAGACCCAGAAGGACCTGGAGCACGCCATGCTGTTGAGGCACCACGAGTCCATGCAGGAGCTGGAGTTCCGGCACCTGAACACCATCCAGAAGATGCGCTGCGAGCTGATCCGGCTGCAGCACCAGACCGAGCTCACCAACCAGCTGGAGTACAACAAGCGCCGGGAGCGGGAGCTGCGCAGGAAACACGTCATGGAGGTCCGCCAGCAGCCCAAGAGCCTCAAGGTACAGGAGGAGCGCTGCTTCGCCATTGCCGCTTTCATTCTTCATTTTTTTTCCCCTTTATCCCTGATGACTTACCCTACAAATCTCAGTATTGGATGCGATTATGCATCATGAATTAACATAAGATCACTTTCTTGGCCATATACAATTTCTTGTATTAGGAATTTGTCTTTTCGCATACCCCAGCTTGCTCTCCATGAGACACACAGACATGGAGAGAAGCTGGGGGTCAGAGCGCAGGGTCAGCCATTTATACAGCTCCCCTGGAGCAGTTGGGGTGAAGGGCCTTGCTCAGGGGCCCAACGGAGTAGGATTCCTCTGCCGGCTGCGGGATACAAACCGGCAACCTTCCAGCCACAGGTGCAGACCCTTAGCCACAGAGCCATCGACCTGCCCTCCCCCCCGGTGGTCTTTTAATTGTTTATTAAAATTAAAATCCTTTATTAAAAGACTGATAAACAATTTCTGTCATGAATCCCTTCTCCTTTGTCCATCCACTTTGCATGTCCTGAGTGTTGAGATGATTTGGGCTTCTGTTAATTCCGCATCTGTTTTCAGTCTTTGGCTGAATGAGTTCAGTAACTCTGACATGCCAGGACATGCCAGCCAAGTCATGATTTCTAGGACATCCCATTTCTTCTTCCACCCGATGTACCATCTGTGTAGTTTAGAAGTTGTTTTTTCTCTGCCATATTGTATATTTCTTCATTTCAGCTGTAATCTAACTGTTTTCTTATAGTATATTAGAAAATAGATGTGATAGTGCGTTACAAGTTGGTATATACAAAGACTTTATATGTGATTGGGGTATTATGTTTTTGTGGAAAAATCAAGCCATTTTCCCAGGCGAGAACATGTATTGTGTCAAAAAGTGTCAACATTAACTCATACAATGCTTTCCATTCGAAGATCACACTGCAGTTTTCTTGAAGGGAGCAAAGATCTTAGAATACAATTTACTTCAGCATGTATGTCCACTCTTCTCATTTCCTTTTTGAATTGTTTGAAGTATATTGACCAGCCCTGTCTCTTTGTGCATGTCAGTCTAAGGAGCTGCAGATTAAGAAGCAGTTCCAGGACACCTGTAAGATCCAGACCCGGCAGTACAAGGCACTCAGGAACCACCTACTGGAGACAACGCCCAAGAGTGACCACAAGGCGGTGCTCAAGAGGCTGAAGGAGGAGCAGACCCGCAAGCTGGCCATCCTGGCTGAGCAGTATGACCACAGCATCAATGAAATGCTCTCCACGCAGGCCGTGAGTGACAGAGCGAGGCAGGGGACCCCGCAGGAGCTAGGGAAAACAAGGATGGAAGAAACAGAGGGGGGCAGAGGGAAGGGGGGAGGTATGGCACTAGAGAATGAAGGGATAGAGTGAGAGAAAAAGCAAAGGGAAGGAAAGCTGAAGGGGACAGAGAAGAAGGGAATTACTTTGGGGTCCAAGGCAGTGAGTAACAGGAAGAGCCAGACTGTGATGGATTGGAGGGAGCAGATGGGAATAGAGGAGGCTGTGACCCCATATAGGTAGAAACATTTCAGCCCATTGATGCAGAGCTCAGTGAGTAGACAGCAGCTGGAAGGCTGGTTGTGTACCTGTAGAGAGAGAGAGGGAGAAGAGTATGCCCACAGCAAGATACGTCCTACGCAAGCTTTTAACTCTCTGTGGAGAGTGAGGTTTGGATATACTGTGGTTCCTGGCACAGGCTGGCATGTGATGGGGTGTGTTAGGAGTTGTCCTGACTCCTCCTCTTCTCTGCGTAGCTGCGTCTGGATGAGGCTCAGGAGGCGGAGTGTCAGGTGCTGAAGATGCAGCTGCAGCAGGAGCTGGAGCTGCTCAATGCCTACCAGAGCAAGATCAAGATGCAGACCGATGCCCAGCATGAGCGTGAGCGAAAGGAGCTGGAGCAGAGAGTGTCGCTGCGCCGCGCCCTCTTGGAGCAGAAGGTGGGCGTCCCTTCTCTGCCAGCAGGGGGTGGTAGCGGTTTAATTCTAAACTCGGGTTTGCAAATGCTGTGGAAAAGGAGGATTCTTCAGCGCTCTTAGTAGTGTTAAACACAGTTTCTCTCTCCACCTCTGTCACATTAAGAACAACAAGCCGGTAAAGCGCTTATCTAGAACGGGTAACTAGGAATCAAGTTTGTGGCTCATCGTCCTGCGCCCTGCCCTCTCCCGCAGATCGAGGAGGAGATGCTGGCCCTGCAGAACGAGCGCTCGGAGCGGATACGCAGCCTGCTGGAGCGCCAGGCCCGGGAGATCGAGGCCTTCGACTCAGAGAGCATGCGCCTGGGCTTCAGCAACATGGTGCTGTCCAACCTGTCCCCTGAGGCCTTCAGCCACAGCTTTCCTGGGGCCCCCAGCAGCTGGTCCCACCATCAGGCCGGCTCCCAGGGGCCACACTGGGGCTCAGGGGGGCATCACGGCCATCACCACCATCACCACCACTCGGGGTCTGGGCAGGTGGGGGGTCCCCCGCAGGCATGGGGCCACGCCATGCAAGGAGGGGGCCCTCAGCCTTGGGGGCACCCTTCCTCTGGGCCCCTGGGGGCTGTGCCGAGGAGCGGGGGGGGCATGGGAGTGCGAAACAGCCCCCAGGCGCTGCGGCGGACGGCCTCCGGGGGGCGCACTGAGCAGGGTATGAGCAGGAGCACCAGCATCGCCTCGCAGATATCCAATGGGTCGCATCTGTCCTACACATAGAGCGCCCCCACGCTCCAGGCGACACCATGCCAAGAGGGTAGGGTCCTGCTGCAGGGTCGGGGGGAGACCACGGGGCACAGGTGGGACAGAGGGGATGAGGACCTCAGCATTCTCTCTCCTTCTGTTCCTCTTTCTCTTCCATCATCTTGCTGTATGCTTACATACAGACACATTGTGATGGATACACATTGCTCACACCACAAAGAGAAAGTATGATTGTTCTGTATTTTTGAGCAATAGACCTATCTATAGACCAATTTAAACAGGCTAATATCATTTTGTTTGATGTGTGTGTGTGTATATATATATACACAGATATATGGGATGATTGCAAACAATGCACTATATCAGTGGAACAAAATTTTATCGATTCTGCATTGTGAGCTCCACTCAGCCCTCCAAGGTAGCACTTTATAACCAGCTGGTGGGGCTGTTGCGTTGGCCAAGGGGATTTTTAAAGATGTTTACGCTCCTTACTTGATTTTTTTGATCAGCATATATGGTCTGATAGAAATTTCTTATTTTTCTCTCCTGTGGTGAATTGTTGCTGAATCATTTTGTTTCTGTGTGTATATTATACACATGCATTTTGTTTATATGTATAAGAAGCCACTGCCCATGCTTACACTAATGTCACACAGAAACCACTGCCGGAGGTGAAGGTCTCTATACATCTACTATATGTGCTCCATGCTTATGAAGTCTCAGGTTCTGCTCTAGTACAAGAGAGGACAGTATGGTTGACAGAGCCTGTTCAGAATTTCTTTTGGGAAGCTGAGATCCAGCTGGCAACGGTCATCCAGGGGCAGAGCTGATGGCCACCTGCAGAGCCGCACGCGGGTGTTTCTAGCGGTTTTTCGGAGGTTGTGCAGTGCTGTCAGTGTGCAGTGACCAAGTAGCAGGGCTAAAGCCCCTTCTGGTTCCCGTTGTATCTCAAGACCTTCAGCAGACCGATGGATCTACACTCCCTCCTCCTTCCGTATGCCAGCAGTATAATGGAGACAACGTGACAGGGAGCAGCTGTGTGTGCAGGCGCTGTTGTTGGATCATCGCCTTTTTTCAGGGTCTTTGACAGTTAGGGTTGTGCTTCATTCAGGGTGCAGTGCTTGTAATGGTTAGTGAGGCCTGGATTAAAGTAGGTGTCCTGTTCATCAAGCAAAGGCAGAGAGGGGTGTTGCCCACCATGTGAATGAGCTTGATACCCCTGGAGAAGAGCTGCTGGAAAACCGCTCCAGTCCTGTAAGTACAGGGCAATTTAATTCTTTTTTTTTTTAAGTGCACATCTCATTAGACCTTAGAAAAACAATTGGGTGTCTTTATGTAAGGACTGCCCAAATAGTTTAAGACCACAAAACCTTGTAACCATCTATCAGCAGATTGCGTCTGAAGAATATGTGTTTACTGTTTTCAGGCTAACCAGTGAGTTGTTATCCAGAGGACTGGAGCAGGGTGCCTGCAAATCTTGCCCGTCTGCTTTGGAAAGTTGGCAGGGGGTCCGAGTGGGTAGCTGGTCCAGATTAAAGCTATTTACTGGGCGATTTGAGAACCTGGCATCTGTGCCTAGAAGAGACAGTCATGCCAGTTTGTCCATGTGGTGGTAGCAGTTAATATTGAAAACTGATGGCATCCTAGTGTGTACTGGTATTTAAAAGAGCAATCCTGTGCTGAGCTGTCAACAGCAGGGGCTCAGGGATCTTCGCTGGCAAAAAGTTTTATGGAGATCAGAATTGCCCACTGCTTATTTTTTTTATCATTATTGTATTTTTTCTGATTTCATTGCAATTAGAAAACGTGAATTGAAACATCTGAGCCAATGTTCAGATTGGCCACTTCTCAACTTGATACGTTATAGATCATAGAGACACTGACTAGAAACCTGTCAGATTCTCTTGAGATGATGTTACTGGTTTAAAGCAGCTCTGCAACATGAGCAGAGCCAAAACACAATTAGAAACAGGCTTTGTTTCCAGTAAACGATTTGAAATATGAAATTATGACATGACATAATCATTTCTGCTCAAACCTGCTATGCAGTGCAACATCTTAGACAGCACAGATGAGTGCTGTCAATGCATAGTGCAGAGTAATTTTATTAAAGCATTAAAAGGTCCTACGCCATACACTACATAGCCAATCAGACGGTTGAGTTTCAATCAAAGCTAATTCAAGTGTCAAGTCACAACACAATATGCCAATTGCAGAAAGATCTGAACAGCTGTGATGGAGACTGTCATAGCACCTCAGTCTCACTGCTGCAGCCTGCTGTTCTTGGGCAAGCAGCTGCACCTCTCTGAGCCAGGCAGTCTCACCCGGCTGCAGGCTGGAGCAAGAGCTGCCTCAGTGTGGCTCTGGCATTGAGGAGCTGCTCAGGCCGGGCAGCACTTTAAGTGGCAGCTGTGAGAATGTGAAATGGTTTTAGCTGCTGTTTTTTTTTCTCAGTATATTAGGGTTATTTCTTTAGATACGTCAAACTTGCAACTTTTATGCCATATTTGGGTGCACAGGACTGAATGTGCGAAATTTACAGTGAAAGGCTGAGATGTGCTTTATACAAGAATACTCTATATGAACACTAGGTGCAGTAAAGTTTTTAGAATTGTAAATAAAAGCACTAAAGCTTCACATTTGTACATGTGTGGAGTGTCAGATTGTCACTGACACATTTGATCATTTCTGACCTGGATTACCTGAGCCAATTCCTCTTCAGAATGTCATTTCTTAAAGAGATTATTGATAATGCAGAGCAAAAGCTGTTCATTTCTGCTTATTTTTAATTATTATTTTTAGATACTGAGTGGAAAAAGCTTAAACTTTGAGGGGAAAAAAGTTAGTTAAATCCTATAATTTATTTTTGACGTTGGGGTTTTCCTGCTTCTGTTCTCTCCAGGTGCTAGTAAATGTGCAGAAAGGCAGTGTGTGAGGTGCTCGCTCAACAGTATTCATACAGGACGACACCCTAATTACTTCCCTTTTTCCAAGTCTAGTCCAAACACGGCCAAAGCCTGCTCATTCCTGTGCCATAGTGAAAGATTCTTTGGAGGTTTAAAAATAAATTCTCACTGCTCCAGCTCTGCTGGTCTGCAGCCCGGAGATGTGCTGACTCTCCCGGGTGGGACTGTGGGTTTTGCCCAATTCTGCCACCTTAAAGTCCTTTGAGAAGTCTTAATTTATAGCTAGAACACTACGGACATTTTCTTGCAAGAATGGAAAAGGTCGAAGCATACTTTGCAGCGCCAGTTGGGCTTCCTCTGTTCTAGGCCAGGAATGAAAGTACCATAAAGTGAATTACATCTTTAACTCCGGCCTCTGCCAGCTGTCACTGTCAAGCACTTTGAGAGGGAACCGTTGCACTGTGTTCTTTCCAGTTTGCTGCAACACCGTGCAGCCTAGCCACCAGATCAAGAGCAGAAGGACATCTAGCAGGATTCTCTCTAGCAACGTGCCAAAATCCTTCTGCCAAAAACACTAAGATGAGCTGGCTGAGCCATGAAGGATGAGGCCACAGAGGTGGGGCAGTACAGTAGTCAGATCACACCAGGGCTTCAAATACAAGTTGGTATAACAGGGAAGAATTGAACTGAGCAGCGATTCGTTCAGCATTAACCCAGTACTTTTCCATAGGATATAATAAAATATTGCAGTTGGCTGCACTTTGTCGCTTGCCACCAGAATCTGCTGTTTTATAGGTTATGTAGGTACACAGAAAGGGTAACCATTGCTTTGACACTTTGTGACTTTGAAGCCTTGAAGACAGTGCCATTAGAAGTTGATCGAATATAACTTGACATTAACTCTGCATGGACTCATCCGACTCATTACCTATAGACTGCTGAGCAATATAGTGTGCTTGAAGCAACTGGCAGCCAGTTCCTGTGATATTTGATGTGAGTATTGAAGAACAGTAGCCATTGGGCTAACAAGGCAGTTTCTGGAAGTTATGGAGGTCACCTGTACATCACATCTTTGCCTTGTTGCTTGTTAAAATCCTCAGGAATGATGCTCACAGATAAAAGAATGACTTAAAGCATGTTATTGACAGCATAATACAGTGCCTTGATGGGCTATGGCCAGACTGAAGCACTTTAGACAGTATAACGATTACAGGATGCCAAGATTATATTAAACAAGCCCAATGACAGCAGCCAGATATTGGCAGGGGATGGGCTTGGAGAGAGGACAGATTAGCACAGGATGAATGTAGTGTTTGGGCAGGGTTTGTACAGGTCATAGCATTAGAATTGGGTATCTCATTGAGGATGACATGACTGAATTTGTATCTGAGAAAATATTTTAAAAGTTACCTTGAAATTTAGAGACGGTTGTTTTTTCGAGGAGACGATTTTGCATACTGGTGCTAGGTGGTGGAAGTTTATGTGGAGGTGATTGTTTGGTAAAAGCAGGTTTTAGTTGTATAGAAGGATAAAAAGGAGTGGCAGGAAATTTTGGAGACCGTAAGTGTGCCATTAGAAGCCCTGTGTCAGTGAAAATGCCCCGCTGCTTCAGTGTGTCAGTAAAGATACCTTGCTGCTTCAGTATGTGTAAGTGCAAGAATTCAAAAGGAAGAATAAGCTGTCTGGATTGTAGATACTGTAGCATTATTCAACAGACCAGTCAGACTTTTCTCAGTCTCACCGGTATGTTACTGCTGGTTTACTCGACATTCAACTGTTGGCTGGTTTGACTTCTCAGTAGCTAATGGAGAGAGAACAGTGAGCTGTGCTGCGTTTCTTGGAAAGCACGGTACTGTAGACTGCACTGGGCTTGAAGCAGGAAAGGAATGTCCTGGGTACTTGAGTGTGATTCCTTTTGTGGGTTTATATGATTTTTAATTTGTCACTTTACAGAATATAATTGGTCATGTGAGCAGGTTTGACCCCGTATGAACTGACCACTGCTGTACAGCTTTTCTGTCTTTACAGCTCCAAATTTGTTTGTTCTTGACAAGCCCAGACAAGCTGTTTTGAACAGTTTTTAACCAATGTGTGAATTTAAGGGAGGTTTTAAAAATGCTATAGCGAAAGACGAAATGCACTGGGATTTTCGAAACTGCAGGCTGCAGCGTCTGTATCCATAAATATGTGCTCGGAAAAACATTTTCCGGACTTCTTCCTAGGGCTTAGAGGGTAACAGAAAAGCTAAAGCTTTCTCTTGAAAATAAGCAGTTCCAGAGTAGGAATATATGGTGGTTTCATGCAATAAGCCAAAAAATGCATGGTTTTAGGAAAATTGAGAAATAAAATTAGTTTTATTATCCCTTTACCGATGCCAAAAAAAATGTCAGAAGTGTATATCAATGCAAAACCTTCCGTTGTCCTATGTACAGTACTGTGCCAATGTTTGGATTATTTTGGTGAAATTTTAACTTGTTTAAAATTACTTTTGTGTTCTTGTTTTTGTAATGCATAATGTTGAAACATTAAAACCAAATTGTCAAACTAGATGCAGGAATTCTATACCAAATGTCTTTTACAGCTTTCCATATGTTTTTTTGTTTTTGTTGGGTGCCTCTTTGTTTTTGGTTGTGGGTAAAATCCTGTAGACCCCAGTCAAATGCACACTGGGACTCAGTATTCGGGCACTTTCAGCACCAGCTTCCATCTTGCTGCGTCTGGTCTGGATGATCAGATTGTTGGAAGAATTTAGACCAGTAATAACCCGGCCCCGTGCACAGTATTGTACATGCATGTGAGACGTTTTAAGCGTCTGTGTCGATCAGCAATAATAGTGTGCATGAAAGGCATTAGATACTGTGATTTTTCTTATTTCAAGTCAGAAGCCTGTCGCTGTGTGCTGTGTGCAGGCAGTGCTAGCCTGGGCCCGCAGCTGGAGCTCGGGGCTGTGTGCTATTGCAGGCAGTGCTAGCCTGGGCC